ACTTCCAGTATCACTCCTTGATATCTTAAAGACCTGTTCGAAGACTGCGTGTCCAGCAAATTGACTCAGCTTGCGGCGCGAAATACACGCCGAAAAACTGGATTGTCTTGGTTAGTTATCCTAGTATTACTTGCGCATCGTGCTGTCCCTCAAAAATGGAGATCCGAACGTCGTTTGCAGACCATCTAGTGCTCTCGTCATGATTTCATGATAAAAGCAAAAATGGAGGGAGTGGAAGCGTACTTGTAGGGAGACTTTTAAGAACCTTTCCATGTGAACGCGAACCTCATGAGCTTCACGAAATTTCGGAACATATCCTTTTCCGCAAACTTGTTGGAGAGTACCAACTAGTCCACAGAATCGAATGCATTCTCAACGTTCGGTAAAACCAAGACTAGGGCGCCTGTAAGCATGCCATAGATCTAACGCTTGACGGAGTGTGAAGATGTGGTCTACACAGCCCTTTGCTGTCTCGGTCTGCTGTTCTCGGTTCCCGTCAGCACTTGCCTTCTCAAGACGATATATAATAAGCAATACTTGTTTGGTTACAACGCTTAAGCTGACTCCTTTGTTCGCCACACTCACTGCGAGCACTCCTCTTGAAAACCGCAACCATTATCGCTCGCTCCAATTAATTAGGAGGGACCCCTTAGCCCATACAGAGGTGAACAGGTTGGACAATCAACAGCTGGGGATTTCACTTCCATCTTTGACCAGATGGAATGGGATTTCATCGAGGCCAGAAACTCGGAAACTCCTGCGGAGACGCCCAGCTTATGTCAACGCAAGCGTTGGCTGTCAGACATGTAGAGTAAGAGCTATATTGTTGTACAGTTGCGAGACGGTCTCTGCAGACAGTGTGAGGTTTCTCCGTTTTTGAACACCGACATCGCAGAAGCATTGTAGGTACCGGATTGCGTCTACGGAGTCGTGATTACAAAACGGAAATCTGGTTGTGTAGCCAATCACAGAAAACCCGGCGACAACTGTGGTGGTTCGGCCATATATAAGCACCACTACTGGTGCATTACTGTAAGTGGTGGACACGTTCTTCGGATGGTCATTCAGCAGAGGAATATCAGTGTTATTCCCTGGTGTTGCTACCAATGATGTCGTAAACCGACAGACAAAGGTTACTTCGAGCGCACCGAACGATAAACACGGACATTGACAGATGACCACTAAACCAGTTGTCCGCCCAGGCATCTCAACACAAGTGTTTAGATAATTACATCTAACATACTAGGTTCCAAATTATCATTGCGCAGATGGCATCCCGCATCCCACTGCTTACAGTTCCAGGAGCACCGCGGGTGCTTAGCGAAGGTGGTTTGGGCCTTTGAGACTCATACACTGACTTTTTCATAGACACTGTCGAGCCATAAACTCTTGTTTCTCATTGAATTAAAAACGATATGTTCGGAGGCTGAATTCTGAGGCATGACAGTGCGCTTTGCAAGGCGCATGCCAAAAGGTAGCAAGACGATGGTTAGTCTATTCAATAGGGCTTGTGCTTCACCTCGATCTTCAAAGGTGGGGCGATGTCGTCTGCGTACTCCAAATACGCAAGGTCCTGAATACCGCAGTTATTAAGACCATCCAGCGTTCGCCTCATCAGTTCATCAACGACGAGGCTGAACAAGAATGGAGGGAGTGGACATCCTTGTCGGATACTACTTTTTGTAGGGAAGCTTTTGGAGAGCTCACCACACACTCACAGGCCCAGAGGCATGTAAATATAAGGATCAGATTATGTTCACAAACCTCTGGGGCATACCTTGTTGAGCAAGTGTGGTTGGTAGCACTTACCGATCGACAGAATCAAACGCACAATTGATGTACAGGAACTTCAAGATTGTGGGTCATCTGAATATGTACCTGATGGAGTGTGAAGATGTAGTCAACAGAGCCTCTACCCGGGCGAAATCCCGCTTGATGCCCACGCGAGCCGCCATAAGGCGACAAAGGATCAGTGACGCCAGAAGCCTTGTTAAGACGGGATTCAAACTAACTTCTCTTCAGTTACCACATTCACTGCGATTACTCTGTACTATTATGGATTATTTCTCCCACATAGACCCAAATAGGCTAGACAGGTACTGGCTGAGAAACCCACCACCATTCATGAACAGAGCAGGTGGAAGGTCGTCAGGAGCAGCAGCACGATGACGTTTGAGTAGAGATGTACATTCAAAAAAGGCTGAGGGGAGGTCCATAGTCACAGTTCGGCGTTATGTTAAAAACCAGCAGCCCGGATTGGAGGTAGCAGGTGGCCAGCTAAATTGTTGTCGGAAGTAGTGTTGTCTAAACCGTCTCCTTTGCTGGATACCAGAGGGCCATTTTAGTTCCTAATAATTTCGCTGACAAGAGGCCTTCGATGCTCAGTCGAACGAGTCACGTGGAACAGCCCGTGAACGACCCCAACATTTTTCGCATCTCCCATTGCTTCGGCCTTCCAGATCCCTCAAGCTCCTCGGTATTCACGGACAGAGTTTTACCTGACGTCGGATGATGTGTCGGGTGTTGTTGTTGCGGTCAGGGCGAATCTGTCACGGGGCATTCAGCAAAGACATGATACATCTGTGATCCAGTGTTCCGATAAGATTAGCTGGATTGTATCGCAAACAGAAGTTCCGGTCCTGAGTAGCACTGTGGGTATCTTTTACCAGCGGCCTTTACTATCCGACATAAGACCATCCGACAGGCGTCCGAGGAACCGGTCCTGCGTTTCGTTTTGGTAATAGGTCCACTAGCTTCTCGATGGTTAGGGGTGCTCATTTTTCGTAGACCTGAAGTGTGACGAAAAGCAGTAGCGCACAAGTGCATGGTCGGAGTTCATACTGGTGTTTCAGGAGCGGTAGGCTGTTGACCTGCTTGCTTCAGTGTGCGAACATTGAAGGTGGCTGAGTAGACGGGCTTTCGGAGTTTGAAAACATACTTCGAAGTGTTCAGGGTTGTGACTGTAATCGGACGTTCAGAAGCTGCACTTGAGTGTGAGGCAGGGCGAGCAAAACGATCAATCCTAGAGCTTCGACCTGCGGAGAAAGAATTGAAGTTTGGGCGGGGGGAGGCGGAAGTATAAGGCGCAAACGTTAGCATGTCTCCTCTTAACCTCCCTCTATTCAGCAAGTAAGGCGGTGCCGCTGGTGGCACCACGCGGCGGTCTACGTGGCATGAGATAATTTTGTGCGCAATTCTTGGCGGTGCGGGCTGGGATACTAACAAGGCGCCTACATCTGGTCAGTAGGACGATTAGGGTCTACAACCAAAGCCTTTGACTCAAACGCCTGACCGTAAGGCATCGGTGTCTGGTAATTAACGCAGGTGCATTGCTATTTTTATAGAACACGCGTTTTATAAACCCCAGCCTGGAGGGCCAGGAGGCTGTGTTCACCATCCCTCTAACCATTGACTAAGCTGGAATGGGAGACTGTCACACAGATACCACCTAATATGATTCCACTGGTCACGGAGATACACAAACCGTCAAACAATAGTAAGGTCCATGCTCTTTGTGATGCCCTATACTACTTGCTGCGATCGATCGGCGAAAAGAGATCAACGGTCGATGTAACGACAAGTGACAAACGACTCGTTATTCAACTCGCATAAACGCAGGCTGGAAAATGGACTGAACACTTCGAAGGGCAGTATAACTGGCCTTCAGCAACACCCCGGAAACAGTGCACACAGGGGGAATAGAAGGAAAACCTCAATTGACCGTCAGAAAGAATGAATTACGAAATATGCCTCATGGAACTTGACAAGCCACCAGGACCCGGGGATATGTACACAGCTCCTAGTTACATACCTAACACAATATTGGATGAGAAGTACCCACTGAATGAAACACGTTGACGGATAGTCCAATCCTCAGAAAGAGTTACGCAAGCATTGAAAATCACTGTGGAATCAGCCTTGTAGATGTGGCGTTGAAGGTGCTCTCCGGTGTTACTCTTCGAAGGTTGATTGTACACAGGAAGAGGCAGATTCGTAAAAATCAAGCTGGGTTCCGACCTACAAGAGGACGGATCAATCACAATTTCACTCTCCGATGGACTCTGAAAAACCGAAGCTGATTACAGCAACCAACGTTGGTCCTCCTTGAATTGAAATCCGCCTTTCAATCTGTGGGCCGTCAGGCACTCCGGTAACATCCATGCGGCAGATGTCTCGGAAAATTTTGGCCCTCCTTGAGGCATCGTAGGCCAGCACCCGAGGATGTGCAGGTCTACCGGAAGCTAACGCTACCCAAGTCTTTCCCTTTCTCTCTCCCTCTCCAAATTCGCCATTTATACATGATTACGGGAAACTCACCGCCTCCGATACATATGGGACAGAAATGACCCCAAGGAATTCGCTCAGATAGAGTAGGCAGACGATGTCGTTCTTCTTGGGTCTGACGCTATGCTTATCGGGCTGGTTCATTCCGGAGGTCGTCTCCGATTAGAGTGCAATCTAATTATGAACTCGATTACCCACCAGCCGAAAAGCGTTCCAGCCAAGTAAGTGGGTCCCGTGAAGTAGTGGTGGGAGGCCAAACTTCCAGGGAATACAACCGGTCCCGGTGAATTACTTCAGCAAACACATCGGCAAAAGACCCCAAACAATGGTAGAACGAGTGACACGTGAGTGTCGAGTCAGGTACCGAACAATTGGCAGCATACACCCAGGGGACGACACTTAAGCGTCCTAGAAACAACTATCTGTGCAATGGTATAAACCATCAAATGAAGATCTACCGGAACGGATGAGATGGCGAGTATAAGATAATAGCACATTACATATATGCCGCGGTATTATCTAAAACGGGACAGCACATCGCTTCAAAATAGCACTAGCTCTCCGTGACACTCCTTGAAGGGTAAATCTGGACTAAAGAGGGACTGCTCCGGAAACGAACCTGTTTGGCAGGCGTCAGCTACGCAAATAACTTGTAATGAAGCAGACCAGTGTACCGACAAAAAAACGATATTCCGTGCAAGGTTTTATTGGGCATCTCAGAAACCAGCGCTTTCTTTCATTAGCTGACGTTTCATTTTCTTCTTGGACTCTTTCTTTTTCAGCGGTTGAGGGGCGTTCGCCGAAACCTTCGGTACCAAGTCGTCTTTTGTAGCCAGGATCACTTCGACGTGACAGGGTGAACACATGTACGGATTAATGCGGCCGTGCGCACGGTACGTCCTGCGACGCATCGCGGGTGCTTGATTAACCTACGAGGTTCGAGGTAATGGTGAAATAACTAACTTGGATATGTTTTATGTACAGCCGACTGGCTTCTCCTCCCTTGATATCCTTGTTAACTCCGTTACTGAATGCATTATGCAATAGCTGTAGCAGCATCTGAGCTGACTTTTTCGGCCAGCGGCCTTGTGTAGTACCCCATGCCTTGGCCTGCGCGTGTCTCCCGACTCCACCATTGAAACGCCTGAACGGCACTATTTCCTTCTTTTCAATAACGTTCTTCAGGAAAGTTTGCGCCCGTTGCAAGGTCATACCCTAAGGAGTTCAGATTTGATAAAACGACTTTTAAATGCCGAAATACCTTAATTGCACGAGCGCACTCGTGCGTATTCTTGAAGTGTGCCCTAAGATAGGGTACGCGTGCCTTACATGTGCGGCTCTCATCTTCGTCTTTCGGTTCCCAAGAGTACCGAACCATCACGAGTGTCCACCGGAGAACGTGACGCCAGGTACAGCCGCCACCAGTGACCTCAGGTAATTAAAACACACCACAGTTCAATGTGTGTACTTAATTCAGCGAGTCTTGGGACACTTGTACTAGCCGTTTATATGCTCACGCACTCGCGGCCCTTTGTCCCTGAGTGTCCCTGAGGTCAAAGAATTTGTTGGTCGTAAGTCTCTTCAATGCGAACCCATGGTGCCGTGCCCATATACGAACGAGCTCATGAGCAACCTGTGCAGGCCCATTGAATAAAATTAATCGCGTGGTAAAAGTCATTCTCCAGATCACGTGATGGCCGCACAGCATGAAGGGCTAGACGGCATCAACCACTGTGATAATAAATGGATAGTAAGGCAACAGCGAATGGATTGAAGCGTATGTGAATATTTCAAAATTGGTTAAAGTAGTCATGGCCGCAGCTGGTTCCACATACGATACAAGAGGCAAAGATGGCTACTTCCCCAGTCTCACGTACTGATGATGGGCCGCTGGTTCCGTGATGTGGAGCCAACTGATGCATTATCTGGCATAAGTGGGGTTATTTACATTGCTTGATGTCCCATAGATGTACGCATTCTTGCGTCCGGGAAAGATAAGACGACTGCCTGGGTGGGTATTCTGCCGCTGACACGACGGGGTAACATTTTTGGGTTGAAAGTTTAAGTTTTGTCATTATTATCTGGATATTACCCCCCGGTGACATTATGGTGTTGCAGTACTAAGTCACTTCATAGCTGAGAGTGGTTTGCCCAGCGATTTCCATTTGTTCTCAATCCCGATGTGCACAGACGTCCGGAAGATGCAGTCAACGATGGATGGATCGAAACCGGGACCCCCTGAAACAGTTAAGTTATATAAGGCACTTTGGTTTTCACGAGAGACTCGAATGGATCTCTCGTTTATGATATTCTACAACTGAATGTGCTGCACACAGGCCGCCTCATCATTCAGTTGGCATTCGAGATATCGCAGTATATTTTCATAAAGGAAAGCACTCACAAGGTTGCTGAAAATTATCCGACAGCCCACGACCGGTTTCGCCCTTCTTGGGGCTCATCAGGTAGGCGCAGTTCCCGAGTTTCTGCCAATCTTATGATTCACTTGAACCCAAATTGCACTGTTGGGATGCGCTCTGTATAAGGAGCCAAATCTGCTTGACTATCTTTGTTGCCGCCAAACCCGGGGTGGTTTGGCGAAATATTACTATGAGCTATGTGTAGGAGTTATTGAGGGTATTCAGGTGAAGTTATTCAGAGTAGTGTGTTTAGCCCTTTACTTTCCTTACTATACACCAATAACGTCACCGATTCTATCACCCATGGATCCCCTTTTCTGGTCGCTGATGAAATTAAGACAGCAGACACGTTTAGGGCCTGTGACTCTGTTTCTACTCTTGTTAACATTCAGTCTGACCTGAATTCTTTGTCACTCTGGTCCTCCAACATCTGTCGTTCTTTCGCTGTTCCAAAATGACAAGCTCTGATACATCGATTCCAAACTCCCCCTGGACTCTTACTCTTAATGGACACTCGATTCCTACTCTTCGCGAAGTGAGAAACCTAAGCCTTTAGTATTCCAGCGCATTTAGCTTCAACCAATATGCAAGGTACAGTGGCTAAAGCTCGCAAGCTCTGTGCTTACATTCCCCAATATTTTCATCATAAATCATGTATGATTGCCATCTTTAAACGATAAGCAAGAACCCGTTCTTGAATACAGCTCTGAATTCGCCTCACAGTATTCGCAAGCACTCTGGACTGCTGTGGAGAACGTGCAGCGCCCGTTTACTAAGTCCCTGTTTCCGGTGTCATCCTCACTACCGTATCGTCTTTGCTGTTTGTCACTTGGGCTGCATCTATTATGGCTAAGGCGCATTAGGTTAAATCTAGGCCTCCTGCATCGCCTAACCTACCAGCGGGCTTACATAGCTGACTGCTGCCCTGATTATTCTTCTTGTACTCCCTATAATAACCGTAACCCTGGATGTTTACACCCATTGTCGACATGACGAACTGTCTTTAGACAAACCTTTTTCCTTTGCCTGTATTCCAAGCTGTCGAACAAGCCTCCCTCTCATATCCGTTCTATCTCATCTCACGTGGGCTTTGGAAAGGCCATCGATTCCGACCTTTCTATTAATAATAATAATAATGTTTATTCCCAACCTGTGGGTGGCATACCGTTGGCATGCTCATGCGTTTACAGCCAGAATAGGGCACGACTGGGGAATTTGCGAATAGTGGGGATTCCACGAAAAGGGGACAATATCATGAATAGTGAGAAGTATATGATGAAATAATAATAACAGGTTTCTTTCGCAACCTGTACGGAACAATGGGCATGAGGTCCGACGAACTCAAATACTCAGTCGGCTGACATGAACTAAAACAGAAAACCATTGCTGGCCACGAGTGGCCTTGGGCAGTTGGGTAAATAGCCGGAGTCACGACGAGCTGAAGTGGAGGTGGAGGCGGGATAATTCGAATTGGGAGAACATGGCAGGTTTAGTCTCAAAAGTATGGTGCAATCTAAGAACAAGGAGGCTCACCGGTTGCACTGACGTAGGGAGGTCAAGTGCAGGTGTTGGGATGTATGGGGACACGGAGGTGGTCCAATTCGAACGAGTAGTCCATCAGGTTGGAATGAATTTCATGGTGGTAGTTGGGGTCAATAAAACGAGTAGGCAAGAGGGCTCGGTTGGGAGGAGGGATGGAACAGTTGCGAGTGTGCTATCAGACTGAGTATGGCAGTGCCGTGCCATAATTTGACTGACACGCTTCAGTTTTTGGACAGCCCCGTGACGGACGTCACATTTGAGATGATTCAGCTGGGGGGGACGCAGTTCATTGAGCAGCGGTATTCATTTCAGCATGGTCGTGGAAACTAGCTGGAACGAAGCCGATATAGGATTGTAGGGTTTTCTTGGTGCGCTTGGTGATCCCAGAGTTGTAGATCATGGGCCAGGTGGAGTGGATATCAGCTAACCAGGTTGTCCAAAATTGGCACTTCCGAAGTTCAAAGCTTAGGAAGATGAGGGAAAAGGAGGATATGCATAAATATACACAGAAAAAAATTGACGTCTGCTGCAATTAGGGTGATGACAGGCGATTACATAGAGCAGGAGATAGAAAGATTTGTACTTAGCAGGCTAGCGACCAGGGGTTGAGTTTGCTAACCTACGACATTACATTACAAGGGATCTAGTGAAAGCCTACAAAAGCGCGTAGAAACGTGATATCGGAATCAGATGCATAAGGGCTGGCGGGAGTTGACTTCTAAGATAACTGGATAATCTGGGGTTTATTACATGAGTTGGGTTATACCAGTAGAGAACGTGTGTGCAAAAGAAATAGTTACTGGTCCCCGAAGTACTGCTATCAGCTCTAATCTGTAGATCGTCCATAGAAAGTGTTGACCACTGGGAACGGCGGGTAGATGTATTCTCTGGTTGGATGACGAAATGAACTTTGGCGCGGTGTAACATCTATTCTGACGAAGGCAGGTACATCCATGGGCACTTGCAGAGTATCTTTGGGCTATCCCAAGCGAGCTTCTAATTTTTTGTTTTTGTTTTTGTTCACAGATAAGAGGCCAGTTTTTTCATCGGTGGCTTATGGCATTACCAGGTGCATAACTCAACCGAGGCGAGCCCAACACCAGCAGCACGGAGCTGAGCGCCTTTTCGCGCTTCAGCTTACGCTAGACACTTTTTTGAAATAGGCCCCAAGCCCTTCTAATCTGCGCACTCACCCTGACCGTCCTGTTACTAGGTCCTAGCATTTACACTCACCACCAAGAACCCCTTAGCATTAACCCACAAGTGCCATAACCACCCTCCCAAGTGTTCTTGTCTATAACTTACCACCTTATCTATCTCTTATGCGGACGTTCACTTCCTGCGACCACATCTCCCACTCTCAGAAGCTTTGTTGAGTTGCAGAGAATGTCTAGCGCCCGCCATCCTAATTGTCTTCAAGCCCGTCTGCACTTATATGGTTGAGTTACTTCCTCTGGCCTTAAGCTTTTGCACCCAGCAAAATTATTCCTAGTTCTTCAAGCCTGGTCCCATCCCTGAGTAACTCTGGCAACTCTATTTAGTGCCTGCTGCTTTGCCTTGACGGGATTTAACTAACCTCAACCAAACCGAAGGCTTGGTTCCTCACTGTTCCGAACCATTCTGTATTCCCTAAACACGCGCAGCGCACGCATATCAAATGGTGGGTTTGAATATGCGTTATGAATGAAATACTTGTTCGGCCCCACAGCCCACTCATTCATACAAAAACATAACGCTGGTGTACCTCTACTTGACAAAGCGTTTCACAACAATGTTTCTGTGATAATTAGAATAGTGGTTGGTATCTTAACTACCGAATGTACGCGTAGTATAGAAGTCCTAATATGGACGGATGAATATCGTATATCCTCGAATATCGCAGGCGTACAATCAATCGCACCGTAAAACAACGGCATATAAAAATACACTAAACAGAATGAATAGAGTCAATGTTCACCACATCCACCACACGTTGAATGAGCGTGCGGGTGTATATAGTCTCTAATGGGTTGGAGCCTCAAACGTTCAGATCTTCTCAACGTCGGATTTTCAGGTTCAGTGTTTGTTTCATGCTCCTCAGACCCATCTGTAAGAGAATCAGAAAGGTCATCAGTGTTTGAAGCACCAGACGTATTGTCGCCAAACTGACCTCTAGGATTGAATTCGACCTGATCAACATGCCGTCTGTGAGTTGAGAGATCTTCGAGGTCAAGAACCGTGACC